AGATAAATGTACAAAGAGGGGGGGGGGTTTGTCTTAATGTACATTGTATCATATTCAGATTAGGAACGGTATTCACTTTTAATGGAGTGAAGCCACATATTTAAAAAGTTTATACATATATAATGAATGTGTGTTTACGTTTTATATAATATATATATATATATTTTATATATAAAGCTCACACAAATAATGATCTCGGGAGGATTAGCGGCACAAAACGTCGTCGTAAAAATGAAAATAATTGCATAATAAAGTTTATTTTGATTTTTCGTCGTCGATGTCCTAACAAAATTAAAGCATAAAAACAATCCTACGGTAAAAATGCCATTTATCTCCTGTTTAATTCGACTCTGATAGCTGAAATGTAGAAAAAAAGACATCAAATTTAGTCTGTTCAACAAGAGAGAATAGAATTTTTGTAATGAAAAATAGTAAATTACCTTCGATGATATCTTGTTTCATTTTTGTCATTTCTTTGCGAATATCTGTCATAATCTCTTGTTTTAACTTTTCCATGTCAAATGGATCTAATCCGTTGGTTTTGGCGTCGTCGTCGACTGATCCTAACCTCTGCCTGTAAAAATAAGATTTTAAATTGACACAAAATCACTCCAGAATCTGAAATAAGTTGATATTAACAATAGCTTTACAATCAAAAGCATTGTATTTCGAACTAATATAAAGAATTTTAGAAAATCCTCAACAATATTGTCTAATGCATTCATTAACAAAAGTATCAGTGTACTATTGTCTACACTAATTTGCTTATAATCGGTGATTATGATCACAACGGAATTTGACTAGATATGTAGGAACACTATTACAATCCAAATTACCCAGAATAAATTACAGAAGTCCAGATATTTTGTAATAGGAACTTATCTTATTGTGAGGTAATCTGCTCGGCTTCAACATCAACCTTAACTACAAATTTAAATATTTAGAATAAAATTGTAGTTAGCATTAGACAATTGCATTTGTTAACTGAAGCAAATGGTTCTGTTTCAGAAAGTTTTGTACCTAAGTTGGTGTGTTAAATTATAAATTTTTAGTTTTAAATATAAATACAATCCAGGAGGTATACAAAATACTAGTTATACAGTGTGTGTCCCTAAAATTATCTATCAAATTTACAGATAGTTTTTTAACTATACACTAGCTTAGTAATCTGTTGATCAGATGTTGTAGACTGAGACTTTACAGAAGTTTTGCATATAAAACTTGTTTTTGAGAGATGAACCCTAAAAATAGTATCTTCTGATAATCACTAGTCATTTCTCAATAATAACTTTACTATTTAGTTTGTAGTACAACACTTTCAAAAGTAAGTTTCGATTGAAAACCACTTCAAAACTGATTCCCATTATTTGGGTTTGTAATGGCATAATGTTAGACACACACACAACACACACTTCCACATAATATATCTATTGAAGCATTTGTCCCAAGTCTATGGACAAGAATAATATATATCTCACACAGAAAATGCCAAGTCTTATTTATGGAACCATTTTTAGATGGCATTGGCTGCTTCATCATTTGACAAATGCCTCCTTCTGCATATGAGTTTCTTCAGAGATACAGATAGATGATAATCACAGTGCAAAATTTGAAATGAGTTTATGTCTAGGAGGCTGAGAGATTCTGAAAAAAACAAATGATTATTATTTTTTAGGATTATTAAGAAAAGCAAAATTGCAAATGAACGCAATCAAAGTAATCAAATGGCTGCTCTTTAATTCATGCCTATTTGAAGATGCACTTGCATTTTTTTTATCTTTTCCTCCAACTAATTCTTAAAAAGGTCAAGTAATGTATTCTTGTTTTCTAACAATATTTATTTTTATTTTTTTGACTTTGTCCCATGGACATTGAGAAGGCCTTTCAACCAAGCCCATAGTGGGTTTGGCAAGACCTGCAGTGGATGGGCGAATGGCAACAGACAAATTGCACAAAATTTCTGGTGTTTTTGGCCCAACCTGATTCATTCCCAGATCCATGAGAGTCATAGTCCAACATCTCAATTGCTTGGCCACCCAGCCATTAACAAAATACTGCTTATGTAATGTGCTTACATAGTCATATAGAAACAAACAGAAGATATACATTTTAATTCATAACTTTTGTGTATCTTATGTTATTTTAAGATATGCATTAAATGAATACTATTTCCGACAGACATCTCTAAATGTGCACTTTCAAACTGGAAATTAATGCCTCCTTTCTCATTTAATATATTTATCCAACAAATATAAAGTTAGATGTTATATCTTTTAAATACACGTTAAGTTTATTTCTCTGCATGTAATTTCACTTTTAAAGATTACAGAGATGAAAAATAGAAGGGAAGTAAATACAGTATAACCTCCGAATAGGGAACACCATCGGGATCAATAAGGTCATCCACTATTTACAGGTGTCCTCTATTTGGAGGTACATGCTGGTGGCCATATTGTATTTTAACATGATCATTATAATGTGAAGAATACAATGGATTACAAAAACATTAAGTTTGTGTCAGTAATGTGAAAATACCAAAAGTATACATAATGAAACTATTACTATAAACAGAAGAGTGGACGAAGGTCAGTTTAGATGAGAGTTTGAATGTCGAATTATAGATGTCCTATTTGAAGGGTCTGGGAATTATAAAAATGCCCGTTAAGTTGTGGTGTCTGCTATTTTGAAGTGTCTGTTAATGAAAGTTTCACTGCACCTACATGTTTTGAATGAAAATATGCAAGAATCTCTATAATGCAATTCAATAAAAGTGGAAAACTTAAATCACACACACATGATTTCAACACTCTAGAAGTATAGGTTTATTTAAATGCAGAAACATTTTTGGATTTCGGATCTTTTGCCATCAAAATTATTTTTTGAGTGTATTCACAATTGGAGGAATAAGCAAATAAACCATCAATTCATGATATAATTGCATCACATTGAGACAGCCATCAGTATATGGTATCAATGCAGTATGTGTACTGTCATCAACAATTTGCAATAGATTATCATCAAACAATGTCTTTGTCAATCTATATGACAAGCTTTTCCAAAAATTTACATTAAATCCTTACCTTCGATTTCCTTTAGGCGACTCCAGTCCTCCAGGCACTTTGTTTGGACTGTTACCATTATTTGAATTCAATCTTTCCCACGATCTTCTACCGTCGCACTCTCCTTCCTATCAAATCACAAATTAATGATAAATTTAAATTAGGAATAATGGCAAATTCTGCTAATTTAAAAATAAATAGATTATATTTACATATCAACAATACTAGTTTTTATTCAGGTAATTAGATAATTTTAAAAAATTAATTATATCTACATAATGATATGGAAAATGTGTAGAGATCAAAAAACTTATAAAGTAGATACTTGTTTTTACAACCCTGGAAAACAATCATTAAGTCAGCCAATATAAATTGAATTCTAATTACCCAGACATTGTATTATGAATTTATTTTGAGGGGTAGAAGAGTCAAACAACAACAAAACAGGCAATTCATAAATGCAGCATTCAAAACAGCAATATATATGTAGTCATAGTGTGAAGAGTTAAATATACAAACCCTCATTTTACATCATCTAAACATTATACTTCTGTTCAAAAAAAGATTAAAGAAATACAAGCAATTGTTTATTGCCACAATGTCACAATGCTTGGCTGCAATTTTTAATGATATTCTTAATTTATTCAATTTAAAATACATTCTCAATCTCAAATTAGAAGTGTTTTGCCCCTGTACATCATACTTTCCTGATAACAGAGTCGTGCCAGTTATTTATGTAACTCCATTCAGTGGAAAATTTTTTAATTGAATTCACGTGTTGAATTTTCATATATAGTTAATCAGGCCTCCTGCCCCTATCATTTTCATATCCAATCTTAATTTTCATCTATCTAACACTGTTCTCAAGATTAAGGAAGGACAGAGAGATGAATGACGGTAGAAATTTATAGGTCTACAATTTTTAAAACTGCAGCCCAATTAAAATGCACAATAATAATTTTATGACAGATAAAATTACAAAAAAAACAATACATTGCATTCACCGATAACAAAACAACCTAACCTAAATTAAAGACATAGCTTTACTAAAAACCCACAACGTTTTCCAAAAAAATTAGTAAATACTCGAAACTTGTCCACGAAATAAAACATTTACGGTGAGTGAATGAAGTACTGTATTGTGCTTTTCTTGCACAGATTCATACCACTCACCACTCACGTTACAACTTCACAACAGTGCATATATTACAGTACAGAATGTTGTCATACAAAACACATCACATAGTCAAGAAGAGTCTTAAACATAGAAACATATTTGGAACTTTTTGTATTTTTACCTCTCATGCATTATATAAAGAATCAACAATCACTTTGACTTTTTTACTTTTACAGCATAATATCGTATTATACACACAAGCGCCCATTTTGCTTTACATGTTAGCGGATGTAAAAGCTGCTTTATCTTCGCTGCAGCGACCACTTGCAGCAAACATTTAGAAATGGTTTGCTACACTGCAGCACTGCATAAAGAAACGGGTTTCAGAGTGTTTGCTGTAAACTGCTTCTCGAGCGCTGCATAAAGAAACGTGGCCTATCATTATAAATTTCTCATTGAAGAATACCTTTTTTTAAACATCTTGTATTTATGTAATATAGGTGGCATAACTGATTAGCGCACCGCACAGTAAGTGGAGGTTGAGGGTTCGACTCCCGCTCTGGGCCGATTTTTTTCTTCCAGACTACATTAATTCTAAATTTAAAATCTAAAATCATAGTTACTACTTTTGTCAATGGATAACACTTAACAATGCTAAATGGTATCAATGTTTACATAAACATCATTTAATACAATATAAGTATGAATAAAATTCAGTATTGCAAAACTAAGCTTATTTTATATCAGAAACACTTGCTGATGATAGAGGTAGAAAGTCCATAGAATGTATAATTTGTTTAGTAAAAGCCCAGAATTTTTAGTACTCAACCATATTGCGCATTTTCTTTGTCTCCTAACAAGTGCGATATAACAAGAGGCTACTGTATTTAAAAATTAGTACAGTATATATATTTATGAAACAGCATATTAAATAAATTGTAAACTGTACACAGATTATGTATTAGAAGCATAACAGAAAAAAAATGACAAAAGTCTCATTAAAATTCTTATTTAGTCTATATCAACTCCAATTATTGCAATATTTATAAGTAATATTACAACATTACCCTACTAAAAATGATTTATACTTTCTTTACAATACTTTAATTTATTTTTCATAAACATATTGATTCAATAGTTGCTTGAAGGCTGTGTTAACACTCAACCCACAGTAAACATATTTTGTTCCATAAATTCCTTTTTAAAATGCAACAACTGTAATATTACATTCTCAATATATCAAGATATTTCTATATTTCTAGGTTTAAAATTAAGAGTTCACTGTACTCGAAACTGAAGAAATGTTTAAGGTTCAAGAAATCAAACTATTTTCACCGTTTGCCTAGCTTTAGCCAATTTTTTTTTTAATGCTCAGTAGAATATACTGTATAATAGTGAAAACTGGCCAGCACACAGGGAAGAACTGTCTTCACAATACAGAGTAACTGTTAAATGCAACAGATCTTAGTTTTCCATAACATGAAATACCATACTTTGTGATATTTTATACTTCAAACTGTATTTCCAGGAACATATTCTCAAGTTTTAACATAGCTTAAAGGAAGACAGATGACTTGCTCCACAATGTTATTTAACAATGGTTTTTCAAGAATGAATTAGCATACACAAGTGGGAGTATTCATTATATTGAGTGTTATAATATATATATATATATTATTAAAATATAATAATTTTAATAAAACCATTAAATAAAATTTAATTATTCTAAATTTTCTAAAAATATGTACAAGAGCCTCAATTTTTTGAAATTAAATTGAAGTTTGTAAAATGTGTCTTGATCCTTTCCCACGAGGGAAATAAATATATCAAATCTCCTTCTAAACAGTTAATACATTTGTCTAATGCAATGATGAGCTACCCTTTCGGGATGTATACAAGTGAATTTCATAGGCATGGTCTGTACAGTACATATTTTTTCTTACCGCAGACTCTAAATCTGCTGACAACAAACATACCCTATAACCGCTAATACACAAGGCACTAAAATAATATAGGTTAATGACATAAAAACTAGCAATATTTAGTTTTTACTCATCTTTCTACCAGTCAAAATTAGTTTGAAAGTTCTTTGTTACAAATATCAGATTAATTCGGATTACATAATAGCACAAGGCAGAAAAAGGGAAAATAAAATTACACTGTCAAAGCCCAGGGCTGCATATTGAGATCACATGGGTTGCATGTGACCCATATAGTGCAGATTGCTCAAGACTGATCTAATGCACATGCACTAACATGACTTTAATTATGTGTATATACATTTATTTAAAAAATATAAAAAACTGAAAGTATGCAAATTACCTGGTTGTTGTAATTATTTTCAACTTGTGCCCGTCTAAAATTAAAAAAATAATAAATTTAGTAAATATTTACTACCAAAAACGTACATAAATATATAAAATTCTTATCACTTAAACATATAAAATTACAACACAGTATTTATATAAATAAAAGACAAATAATAAATTATTGAATAAATCACTTGAATTAGCCATAAAATATTTTATCAATAGGAGTGTAGATTTATCTATCTATTTTTTTGAAACCAGATACTCTTGAAAGTAGACAGCTGCTGATATACATTAAGATAATCAAATAATTATTTACATATAATCTTTATTACTAATACCTTATCTTAAATGATAACTCTTAACAAATGTTTAATTCATTAAACCAGATTATAGCTGTTTTATTATAATTTTAAAAAGAAGTCAAATTACATAGCAATGCAATAAACTGATGAAAATCTACACAAAAAAGTAAGAATTGCATGCGAAATTCAAATAAAAGTTTGGAATTATGTGAAGAAAATATCATTTCTAGCATAACAAAGTTGTTATTTTTTTTTTTTTAAATAATTTTGCAGTTGATTGTAATAAAGTTTCTCATATAACCTATAGAATATTTCCTTTCGACCTTGGAATTCCGTTCAATCAAAGTTTGATATGCCGACTGATAAATCACATTAAGTAAACTAATCCGTTCATTTTATCTTGACTTCTTTCAGAGACAACAATAAATTTTCTAAGCGCATTTAAAAAATGTCTCATTTACTATTAATAAATTGATTTTATAGTAGATTCAATTTACGATGTTTTCTTAAACTAGAATTAAATATCTAACTTTATTTTAAAGTTTAAGTTTGTCTAACAAATTGAGTTAATGTTTCATTTTGAAATTAATATTTTTAACAATTAATTATTTAGAAATTTAAAATGAAAATTTAATGTCACTTAAAAATAATCTACAAGTAGCTTACTGTGAACAGTTTAATGCTATAAAATTATTATTTTTAGATATTCCTACTCTAATGCAATGCCGGTCTTCCAAAAAAAAAAAAAATTCTATCATTTAAAATAATTGTAATTATGTTAAATTATTATCTGAGAATGTTGTGATGTACATTAAAACATTGAAAAACTTTCACATTTGCCCATTACAATTTCTCACTGCCTGCACCTTACGTCACAAGAGACACACGACTGTTACTCAAATTCTTCCTATGCTCGCTACATTAAAACCATTGTCACTCTCCTACAGCAGCCACAATTTTATGGTTCCTGCAGATTACTCTTGTTATACAAGAGAAATGATTCTGACTCTGCAAACTACAGAACAAAAAGTATCTTCTCTCTTGCACTGTAGCCATTTTTTGTTTATGGTGCTTCCTAGAAGTAGTAGATGACAAGATGTTTGAGTGAAGATGGGAGGTGAAACTTGAACAGTTACTCTATTGATTGAGTAACTGTCCATGTTTCACTTCTCATCTCCATTCAAACATCTTGTTGTCTACTTGATGTACCTTATATACTTGTTGAATATTAATTAACATATTACAGTAATTTAAATAACAGCATTTATTTTGGATGACTCTGTATATCCATTCACACAAATATACTGCAAGGAAAGATCTGCAAATTATCTATCTTCTGTTCTTCTTTCCATATATAAGAGAATGATGATTGGATGAGATTTACAAAAACACGATTCTAAACAGAGAATGGTAGAGCTGTTCATGATGTACTGTACAACTCTACTTAAATAATTTAAGTTGTAGTCTGTAGGATAAGTTTATGGTCATGCCTACCTCTATGTACCAAATAAGAGAGATTATAAGACTAGCCGTATACAAGATCATTTAATGGAGTCTGTACAATAAAATGGAAGCTTATCAAAATATGTAGAGGTGGGAATCATATGATAATTTATGCATAAAAAAATTAAGAATCCGTATTTAAATAACTTTCTATACAGGATGGAGCAAAAAATTGCCATCTGTAGCTTAGAAAAAACAGAGAATAATACAGTAATAAACACAGAAGACAACTGCTGGTATCATGTCACAGACAGAATTGACAGTTGTCACCTGTGCAACTACACATAGCTACACACATCGAATCAAGTTTAAGAACACATGAAACAGAGATATGAATGGCAGGGATTGCAAGGCTTATATTATCCTTAAGTTCCTGTATTATATGTGAACAATATGGAATACAAATGTTCATTCATAACACAATAATACACTCAACTGATGCAGTTCACTCACTCCAAGTGACACATTAACAACAAAGATTCAAACTTGATTGGGGCTACTTTTTCCTGCTTATCATTATTGTTGTTTCTTAAACTCTTTCCATTCTTTGGCCATTAAGAGGGCCTTTAAACAAGCTCATTATAAGTTCAGCCAGACTCACAATGAGATGGAGGTAACATTATTCAGACGTATTATCCTCAAAAAATTCCTGGAAATTTTCAATCTGACAACATTCAATCCTGGGTTGCCAGAGCAGTTAGTTCCACTTAACTCCTTGGCCATCTAGTCATCAATGAATACTGAATATTCATATTCATATAATAAAATTAAGCTATACGGAGAAAGCCATTAGAAAAAAGAACCTGAATGACCAAGAACATTGTGTTCTTGGGTATTCAGGCTCTTTTCTTCAAAGGTTACAAAGTCTAAAGACTCACACATAACCAGTAATTTGGTAAAGGGTTAGTATACACATACTACTGAACAATTTAGTGCATGGAAAGTGTCCAGAGTAGTAGTTGAGCACATGGCAACCTTTGTGGTGAACAGCAAGCTGTAGATGTATTCATATCATAGAGAATAATACTATAGAGCAAATGTAGGAAATACTGAATTACAATAATGTACTCACCTAAAAAAGTTCTGTCCAGATACATTTAGTTGGTTAGTGACAATGATGATAAGTGCCACTCGACCAGGAAAAATAGAATTAAATGAATTTACTAAACTATATTTTACTATCTGCACACAATAAGTCACAAAGTTACTTGCCACTTGACCAAATTACTGGACAAATTTTAATAAAATTATTGGAAACTAAAGTAATTTTATGAAGTTTATATTTGTAAAAGCTCTAAACTTGATTTATGAGTTTTACAAGTGATTTTTTTATAACATGAAATAAATGTTCATTTTAAATTTTCAAGAAAATAAAATTCTAAAAGCTAACTTATTTTATGTTAGCTTTTTAAAAATAAGAATGTCAACTTTACTAGCCTTCTTGCAAGTGTTTTTGTCATTTCATCCATCATACTGGCCATTCCTCCAATGACTGGAGTTGGTCTATTTTCAATGGTCCCATAATCAGAATTCTGTAATAAATAATTCATAAATCAATAATACAAAACTGATTTTTTTTAAATAAATATTTTCTGTTTTAATTAAATTTCAATTGAAAATGGGCATGCCTTCTGTGGTGTTTTCTTCAATTTTGCTGTAGCGAGAGCAGCTGCCAATGTCATAGGAGACGATTGATTATGTGAAGAAGAATTATGTCGAGGAAGAGTTGCGCTTCCAGGAAGTGGAGGCGGTGCTGGAGGTGGAGCTGTATTGTGCCCCGACGAAGGAAGTGGAGGCGGTGGAGGTGCGGGTGCCGGTTGTGGGGGTGCGGGAGGCGGAGGAGGAGCCGGAGGTGGAATGGTAGTCGGAGGAGCCGAAGAAGTACGATGATGTCCCGTGCTACCAGGCGATGTGATGTTGGCAGGAGTTGGTGGATGGCTAGTGCTAGACTGGGTCGATGCTAAATTAAACAGTAAACAAATATATACATTCATTTACTTATTTAAAAACAAATGCAATCTACAGTATCAAAAGGTTCGGCTTAATTTCAATTAACTACAGCAGTTTGAAAGTAGAATATAACTAATCAAATTTATTGAGTACGGTAGAGCATCGATTATCCGACCCCCGATTAACTGTAACATCGGTTAACCGACCGTTCTAGTCGGCAAATTTCAAATGTCCGCTAGCAATGTGGCGCTACAATATTTGGCTATGTCGTGGCTACTTTAATATTCTTTTTGTTAAATTTTTGCATGTTTTAGCTGGCAACACTGGCTCGCCAGTATTTAAACAAGATTTAATTTTCTAATTATGAGTGGTTGTTTGTTTTGTGAGCAATAAAATAATTTAAAAATAATTTTTAATGATACAATAGCAACGATTATTAATTTAAAAAAAATTTTGTTAGGCTTAACATCAATGAAAATTCAATGCAAAGTAGGTTAACGATATACTAATATACTAATTACATTTAACTAATTAATAGCGATATTCTAATATACTAATTACATGGGATATACTAATACAGTAATACCTCGACTTACGTGAACCCGGAGTTAGGCAATTTTCAAATCTCGTCGATTCGTCTTTTGTTTGAGCGCCACGCAACTCTCGATTACTCACTGCCCCCACACTATTGTTCAGCTTATATGTTCGGACGTGTCTCGCGGAATCGACACATAGCTACAATTTATTTTGTGTTATTTATTTCTGTGTTTGTTATACCTACGGAGCCTTGAAAGACTCTATGTGGTGATTTCTTGTAACCATGAATGAATCAAAAGATGAGATAAGATTAACGAGAACATTTATTAGCTTACATACATGCGACTTGGATTTTACACAAATTGCAAAATTATACCCCGACTTATGCGGTTATCGCTCGGTCCCACCTATTGCGTAAGTTCGGGTATTACTGTATACTATACTAATAATGTATTTTTTTCATTCTTTTTGGTTATCCGACCAACCTGAGTCCCCAATTGAGTCGGATAATCGATGCTCTACTGTAATTTAATTATTATGAATCACTTCTAACACATTAAAAGATATATGCAAAATTTAAAAACATTAGTTGTTAAGCCTCCATGAGGATATAGTGAATTGTGGAAAAGGATAATTAACAAAGTATTTGATTAAGCAAATGATCAACATATTCATGATAAAGAACTTCAGCAAAGCAAGGGAAATGGCCATAAGGACACTCCTTTGTTTTACTTATTTATATTTGCCCCAATAAACAGTCTGTTAGTAGAAAACAGTCTGTTGTTTTTATAATCAACCTTGAATATTGTTAGTTGTATCAGATGATAAGATATGACAGAATGAGATAAATAAATAATACATTTTGGCAACACACACAGTTACTTCGGTAAGTACCACAGGACAACTGGTGACGTCATAACAGTGATTTTTAAATGCAGTTGGTTATTTAGGTCACATTTTCTAAACACCTTGGTAACTACTGGCAGTTACAGGTAACACCAGTTACAATTTCCATACATGCTCTAGGAAGGTAGAACTGATTAAACACTTTTCTAACATTGCTTATGTATGGATTTCGCATTGGTGGCACACTAAAGTGTCGTGGCACAGTGGTTGAGAATCACTGGTCTAAGTTATATAGTGGTACTATATTATCAACTTGGTACTATATTACTTTTATCTTGGCCCTATGGATTACAGAAGGAAAATCAGAGGATGTTTTAGTGTAGCATTTGCAGCTAGTCAAAACAGAATTCTTCCTTTGACTTCTACAATATTGTGAAATATTTGAAATTTTTAATATTTGAACATCTTATCAATGGTCAAGATCATACAAATAACCATAACAAAGCTAACAGACATTCAATTTGTAGCTAGTACAAATTGCATGTGATGCAAAGTTCCTGTCAATATTAGTAAAAAACAGTTGAACTAGATGGAATGCACCAAAGTAGTTAATTTAATCATGCCACAATTACTGTGTTTTAATTTTAATGTCACCAAACTGGTCATACAAAACAGACCCTAGACCTGCCAAGTGGTGAGAAATAAGATCCAATGTGTCTGGGTCTTCCAGAGCAACAGGGTGATCCTATATTACAAAATACAGCTATTAACTAATATTTAAAAAAAAAAAATTCTTTTCACTCTGTGGCCACTAAGAGGGCTATTTAAACATGCTCATTATGGGTTTGGCCTGGCCCTGACACATCACCTCCCAAAAAATTTCTGGGTGTTTTGACCTATCTGGATTTAATCCAAGTACCTAGAACAGCAGACTATCATCTTAACTAGTCAGCCATCAGGCTATTGTTGAGTATAGATTATATTCTACCATTTTTCATACCAACAGAAATTTTTTTCTCATTTATAAATATTATATTAAGATTTAAAAAAATATTAAAATTGGAGTTATTTACTCATAAGAAGGTCTCTAAATTTCAATTAATTACACATTATAATTTATATATTTTCATTTTAATAAATTATTGAAATTCTTTCCAATTATAAAATAAAATTCTTTAAAACATAAACTCTGCCATCAGTTTGATAAATTATTCATTTCAAATCTGCACTTGACATATAAATATTTAATAAAAAACAAATTTAGTTGAATAATTTTATCATTACTGTTGCATCATGTAGATTTTCAATTCATTCTGATTTCACAATACAATGACTTGATAACTTTCCATTTACACATAAAATAACTTTATAGAATATTATTTGAAGTATTTTGAATGTTTTCGGTTGCACAGATTTGATTATATAAATTAGAAAAATTAATTCTGAAAACAGATTTTTCATACAAATTAAAATCCAAATGATATTAAATTCACATTCATAGTATAAACCGACTTATAATTTATAAGATTACTGTTACGAGCACCATACAAATAATATGGTAAAACTGGCTTACTTAGACAATGGTCGTACCATAAGTGCATAAAAATTTGGCATTTTATATTGTGTTGTCTTAATTGCTGAAACACTTGTGCTAACAACTCATCAGCACATGCCACTAGTTCTTCATTTTTAGCTTCTATTTCAGCTTCTAATAAAACCTAAATTATCTTTCTATGATCATTTTCTGCACAATTACAGAGCATTACTCTCCTGCCAAATGCATCTGTAGATGTTGTTAACATCAAAAAGATTGACCCAGAGAGAGATCCAAATCTAACTTCTCATTGTCCTGATGCATTCTCAGACTCTTATGAAATCTTTATTTGTATTACAAAATACTTTATATATGTCATTGACGATTGAAAAAAAAAAATCTATCTTTCAAAAATTTAACAACTTTAAACTAAAGCATTCCATCATAATATTAAAAGTTATTTAATAAATAATTAAATAAAACAACTTTAAACTACAGTTATTTTTTAACAGACAAACTTTATGAATTTTAACTTTGTACCATCTCAAAGCACCCAAACTATGATCCCTGGGCTAAATCCGACTGGCAAACATATTTGATACATCACTTATGACAGAAATAGGCCTATTTCTTTTTACGTATAGATCATAGAAAGTATTTGTGGCTCACCTACTTACTACTTGTGCACAACTTGGTCTGCTGATTGAAAACTTTGGGCACCACTTTCTAATAAGGAGAAAGGCATCAATGATCTTGAGGAATGTATAATTCCGTCAAGATCATTAATTCTGCTCACTCCCATTTAATCTCTAAACATACTCCCTCATAAAGATGTTGCAAAAGGAAATAACTGAAAATTGCACATTAAATTGCACCAAATCACTGAATTTATCAGTTATTTTGGTTACAATAAAGGCACTGCATCATAAGCATCTTGAGCAGGTAATACTATATCTAACAGTCAGAGAAAGGGTAAACTATTTGCATACCTATTTAAATTGAAAAATTCATGCAAAATGCTTAAGTTGCTTGTACTGTACAGGTCTAGAAAGATTCCATAATTCTTTATATCTTAATTTCAATTCATATCTTACAACACAGAAATTTACTAATTTGTTATAAAATTAAAAACCAAATCTAACCTGTATTATTAGCATACTGAGAAAGCTGTTGTTGAGCTATTCGTCTATCGGCATTGTCCATTGTCATCCTAAAAATTTATCAATAAAATTTCTCTATGTAAAATCTAAATTATCTAAAAATTTTCTAGAAAACATCAAAAAATATTTATCAAATTTAATCATTTAAAAGCTTAAACTGAACATACATTTATCAAAATTATATAATCAATAATAATACTTCTATTAAACTATAATTAGACTAAGCATGCATAGGTCTAATTTTACGTATCAAGGTCAAAATTTTCACAGAACTGTAAGCTTCTACTGATTCATCTAACTGGTGAATCATTAGAATTATAAACAGCTTGAACGTGTCATGAAATTTTTATCAATTTCAAGAGTACAAATAAACAAAACAATACTTCTTATCACAAAAATATTAGATTTACTATTTCATATTTAACTGAGGAACAAAGTAAATATATTACTAAGATTCATACCATCCTTTATATTCTACATAATCATCATGGCCTCCTCCTATAGTCTGATACAGTGGCTGCTGCATGCCATGAGATCGAGATGGAAGCGTACATGAACCTGAAAAAGACAAGGATATTAACTTACTTAATTTTTATTCTTCATCAATTCTAGTTTCTAAAATTATGTATAAGAGGTATTATAATTTAAATATAAATAAAGTTCAATATAAACTATTAGAATTAACATTAAGTGACTCTAAATCTGATAAGAACAGAATAATTTTTTCTTTTACTTAATTACTGAAAGAAAGAAGTGAGAGAGATGATCAGCCTGAATCGACTTCCGCATCTTCCAGATCATTCCTAATCAGAAGAAGCAGGAGGCGAAGTCAATCCGAGCAAAGAAACAGGAAAAGCAAGAGGCAAAGATCTCACAGAGGGGTATCAAAGTATTTCCCGTAAACAAACTCGAAAACCCACAAGAAATAACGAGCCTAAAATAAATAACGAATTTTAACATCTTTGAAAATAAACTTTGTTTTTATAAACTTAAATTTTTTTTCTCTCAATTCTTTAATTTCTATTTTTTAGTATTTAAATTTTATAATTAATTCATTACACATGGAAACGATTGACAAAACATGTGGTAATTTAAACTGAAGTTTCTATATTTAAAACAGCAGAATTACACAACACAGCAACAGAAAAAGCAAAAGAATGACTAACAATATTACCGAGAAGAGACAAATTAAATCTGGCAACATGATTCGACAATAACTGCTAATTACAAAAACATACTAAGAGGACAAGCAATATTAGATTTCAATTTAAATAAATGATATTAAGTTACATATAAATGTATTATTTAAGAATAATTTTTAAAGTTTTCTATAAATTTCATATAAATTATTCCACAATTATTAAAAAATTGTATTATATAAACAGTTTGTATATTGCAGACCAAACAAACACTGAATTTATTGACAGTTTAGAGTTAAAATAATCAAATTCCCAAGTTACGACATCACATCGAGGAAACAAATTGTAAAGTAAACATTCCCAAATTAATGCAGTCAAAACCAAAGAGAATACAATTCTTCTCAACTGGATTAAGCTTAGAAAATTAAAAATAATGCTGTTAAATACTTTATAAATTTATGTAAAATGATTTCGTATGTTATAACTCACTGTTCTGGTTAAGAATTTCGATGGCGCGTAGCATCGTCTTAGCAAACATGTCGGCATCCTCTCTGCTGCTAAAATTTAATCCGTAGACTTGTCGGTTGTCTCGCCACTGGTGAAAAGTCGGTGTTGCCTGATTGTATTTCAATCCTTTCAGAATGGCACAGTTTATTACCACCTAAAAAAATTTTTTTAAATAATTTTAGTTAGTTAATTATTGTTATACAGTGTGTCCTGTAAATATAGATCATAGTAAAATTAGATTAAAAAAAAAAAAACTTCTAAGAAATGTAGTAGTAACTAATTATTAAAATATTTATAACAAAAAAATTACATTCCAACAAATGCTTATTTAAAATTTAATAATTTACAGTCGACCCCCCCTATAACACTGTTGATTTTTCCGTTTTATATTAATTCCATGTTGTATGAGTCACTTAGATTTTACAAATGCATGTACCGGGCTGTGAACGGCTCATGTATTTGTAAAATCTAAGTGACTCATACAACATGGAATTCATATAAAACGGAAAAATCAACAGTGTTATAGGGGGGTCGACTGTATATAGTAAATTTTTCATTTTTTACTGTCCCATAAATATAGGTCCATTTTGAAAAAAAAAACACGAATAAAATATTTCTTAATGCCGAATGTGACATCCTTGAGCCAAAATTAAATTAAATATGTAATTAGGCATTGATTTCATTAAAGTTTGCAAGTGTTTTCCTTCCATTTAGCTACTAATGTATTCATCAGTCCTATACCGTGGAGTATTGCTTGCCTCCCACATACACAGCTCTAGCAAGCATTTCCCACAGGTTCTTAATGGGGTTGAGACCAAGACTACAAGGTAGTCAGTCCAAAATCAACACTCCATTACTCAGAAAACATTCATAAGTGGACTTATCATTGTGTATTGAGGCATTGTCCTGTTGGTAGATCTATCTTGGGCATCCTATTTTCTTTGCAAATGACAAGAGATGTTTCTCCAGCATATTCATTCTTCTATGTATAAATGCCACATTAAACTTTCCATTCCATCTGAATGATGCCCATATCATCACACAATTTGCCAGCTTGTTGACGTTTTGAACATATCTGTTCTTCCTATCTTAAATTATGCCAACAGACCATCTGGGTCATCCAAATTAAATTTCTTTCATCACTTCATATAATTCTCTTTCCAATATCATTTCTTTGGCCAATTTTAACCTCTTCTGCTTGTGTACATTTGTTAAGGCAGGGGTGGGTCTTCTTTGACTGAAAAAATTACCCTGAATTTTTTATAATTCTGGAAACAGTTGATTTGGATATCGCATTATCAGGTCAGCCAGAGCCAAGTACACTGAATAATATTCACTAAATGATGTATTTCTCAGAATATATTTCTGTTGTTCCGAGTATATACCTTCGCTGTGAAACAGCAATTTGAATGACTAATATATTATTTTGTCTAATAATACAAAAATAATTCTTGTTCAAATATTTGTTTCTTTATATAACATTATTTCAATTTTGCTTTATTTTCTGTTAAAGAAACATTATATTGATTAATCAATCACATAATGACAGGTCATGTCAACAGATTATGATGCATCGTCGTACAATTCATAAGCTTGATTGTCTGCAAAAATTCCAGGAATTAAATTATGATATTTTCCAACAGTCCAATTTTACATGTTAAAAACTGAGGATTTGCAACATATTTTTAAATCTAAAATTGAGTAACGAATTGCAATACAAACACTAAATTTATTAATTTAGCAAATAAATTACATTTTTAAATTCATATCTCTAAAATAATGATTATTGCAAGACAGTTAGCATGCCGATTTTGTTGTAAAAGTTTTTACGTACCTCATGATCGTGCAACTTTCGTCCGACTACTCGGAAAGTGTTGCTTGTCGTATGTTGATAAATATGGACCTTAGAGAGGCCACTGGAAGAACCACTGGGTACCCATTTCTTATTGGTGTCATCATATATCATCACAGATGCTCTGGCAGAAGCTACAGACTGTTCACTGCAAAGCAGACAAATAAATGACTCTAAGAAATTTTACATATAAAAACTTATAAATGAAACAACATAACTATACAGTCATATATAAAGTGTATTTTGCACTACTCATTCAACATAGATGTTTTACAAATCAAACTTATCATGTTTATGTATGCAATTACATATCAAGAACATACTGGAAAACACCATTAATACAGGGTGCTCAGAAAGTTACAGTGCAATGAGAAATTTGTAATAATGTTAAAGTTATTTGTATGGATTGCATATTAGACATGCAATATCGTACATACAACTCGTCAACTGGTTCTGAATGAACAACTTGCAGGTCTCCATACAAATAACTTTGATATCATTAAAAATTTCTCAGTGAACAGTAACTTTTCGGACAACCCGTAAATGCATATTTGCCAACTGTATTGCAGTTAAATTTATTCAAAATTCTGATCTATATTAATGAAGAAAAAACTGTCACCGTCTTGTAAAAAAAATAACAGCTTCGCACGAATTCTTTTAACTAGAAGCTTCACAAAAAACTCAAACATCTTATCAATGAATTTACAGATAAAGTTCATACAGCCAGACAAGATAAAGAAAAGCATCTGTTTGTTTATTTTTATAAGAATTCCTTAAATATTTAAGTACTTAATAAATTTAGAACATTAAAACATTTACGTAGAAGTTCCTTGCAGCTTAATTAACTAAATAATTTTAATTAATTAGTTTATTAACGCTACAATTTATGAAAATTTATTCAATGAAGTTAAATGAAGATCGTCGAGAGTTACAGGAAAGTGACGCAACAAATCAAACCATCTTTCATTCTTATAAAATTATGAGAATTACATAAAACAATAACGAATTACATGATGCAATTTTCTTTGATAAATTTTAACTGTTTCTACATTGTTGAAAAGTTACGCAACAAATAAAATTGACACTTGAACTTCTGTCCCAGATTAACAGCAAATAGATTGCTCCGTTATGTTACAATCTTCACAATTCAATGAGTGAACTTTCAATTTTATTATTGATTTGTTTACATATGAAACGTAATTTCATTTACAAATTTCCTTGATAATGTTATCACTATGCTTAAAATCGGATGATGATCATTTCGATTAGAAGGAAACATATAGAATTTTGCAAAAGAGTGTGTTCTTAAAAATTTCTATTGATTTGTAAAATACTCAGAAAAAATTGTCTATGGCTACATTCAAACAAAGCAGCCACCAAGGAACTTAGAGAAAACAAATGCAAAATTTACGCTACTTATACATTGATTAGCAAGCCTCCGAACATGCTAAAACTTTTTGCGCAGTATGCCAATAAGGCTAGAGCTAATACCGATTAATCAATTCCACTGAGCGCTAAGCAGAATTGAAGTAAAGCAGAAGTTACACTAAAGTCAATATTGTCATTTTAATATCCGACATACATCTACTCTTTTTACATAAAGTAAAAAAAATATATTTTTGATGTACAAAACATACTACGGAGTCACATGCTTCCCTGATAAAACATCCAACAATAATACAATCAGTATGGGATCAACAGCTAGTAAAATCAGGTCACTAGAATCCCTTGAGGAAGCAAAAACTATATTTAAATATTATAATAACAAAACACCAGGAGAAAACAGCAATAATTGACATGAACTTTAATCCCATTTGTAAATGATAAATGCAACTTTAAATCAAAGAAACTATTATAGATAATTTAAAACCTATCATAATAATCTATAACTCAAAAAAAGTTGATGTAACTTATGATTTTAAAGAAGTTTCTGGATAAACAAGCAAATTATCAGTAAAATTTAAGTATATTTATAATTGTAACATCGTTTATCATCACATTCTCCCTCGACATTCACCATAAAATACAGTTGACCTGCCTGTAACACTGTTGATTATTCCGTTTTATATGAATTCCATGTTGTACGAGTCAATTAGATTTTACAAATATGTGAGCCGTTCACAGCCCGGCACACGTATTTGTAAAATCTAATTGACTCGTACAACATGGAATACATATAAAACAGAATAATCAACAGTGTTATGGGGGGGTCAACTGTATTCTGTTATTAATAAAGTGCATAACAATATCATGTTCACAATTACAAATTGTATATATTAATAATTAAATGAGTGTCTAAATGTGCTTCCACTGAGCATGTTTGTTGACTTTTAGTGGAAGTTGGGACCAATAAACTATAAATATAACTCATGGCAATAAACTACTTAACTGTAATAAATTAATTAGTCATATATACTATTAGAACTTTGTACATATTTAGAAAATAAAGCTGTTTTTTAATATAAAAACATATTTTAATAACATGTGCAAGGTTACAAACTAAGTGATATCACAACTGTGCACAAATACTATTTGTCCAGTGAATGAAAAATCTGACAAGTTGTATGTGAAAGCAAAATGGTATACAATACAGAATGATCTCAAATAAATGACTATAAAGTCAGTTGTCAAACTACCAAAAACCCTTACTTTTAGGGGTTAAAGTTAACTTTCAAGTATTTTTAATGCTTCAAAATATTTACAAAGAAAATAAATTAGTGTTAACTAGTAGGAATAATTGTACAATTATACAATCTCTCAGGAATAACCAGACATTGTTTCATTTAAATCTATTTTCTTCATATCTCTTATTAAAATGAATTTCATTTGTGAATGCAATGTTTAGGAATGAATAGATTTTAGCAAAAATAATGATATCATAGTTTCTTCTAATTTCAATGTAACAAATCTATTTTTAAACACAATCACCAAAGTGCATCATCTGTTAACGATGACAATTGCAATTTCTCTTTCCACCTAAACCACATTTTGCTCTATCTTTAGCTTGTCAATGCGACAAGAAGCAAAAGAGAGAGCTCACAATGTTAACTATAAGATTTATTTACTTACAGAAGGGTTTTTAAAGTATTAATATGTTAAAAAAGTCCAAATTTGTTATTATTCCTACTTTCTATATGAAAAAACAGCACATTATTTAACCTGTATTTAAGCTTGTCCATTCTTTACAGCCAATCAAAGATGCATCACCACTACAGATATGCAGGTAACATTCATCATATGCACACTTGAACTGAAAACTGTATGATATGCATCCAATTATCTACCCACACAGATATACGAATGATATAATATGAGATATTTACACAGGGAACAATCATTACACGCACTAGAATTGAGCACATTGTAGAACTTGACAAGGGCATTCATTGCTTGACTTATTATCCACCTTTGCATGAATGTCTTTTCACATCGCTGCCCAATGAGAACCCAAACATTAATGATTTATAAATCTTTCTCCCATTAAAACCGCACAAATACATTTTCTAGAAAATAAAGGTAATGCACCGAGATAACTTTACAAAAACTAGAACGAGAGGAGGTTGCCGATCCACGTTTGCAGGTGGTAAACATCACAATTTCTAACCTAAATTCTGGAATGCCAAACTGATAGCAAAAACAGGGAAGGTTACAGATAACAAAAAGAGATAACCAATGCTTACAAGTGGCAAGATAAGCAAAGGCATCTATCGTCCGCCTCACCAATTAAGACCACACACATCCCGATCAGATAAAGCTACCAACTTCGATTAAGGTGACTTATATTGTTTCAAACCGTTCTTAAAGGTTCTGGATACATTTGCATGTATAAATGATACTAGAGAACGGAACGTGAAACGAGAATGACAAGGGTGGCCTTTGTCTCGCCCTCCGTAGTAGTGATATTTCCGCAAACAGGTCATTCGATCTGCCACAAGATGAGAGGAGGAGGAGGAGAAGGGGGTAAAAACTACTTTCTTCAACTTAAAGAGAGGTGGCAACATTAATCCTATAGGAAACATACAATGTGGAGATATAAAATGTGAATTCCATACAGGCAGGGGAAAATGGGAAAAAAATTAAGCAAGTAATATAATATATACTCAAAATAAACATTAGTTATTTATATTAAATTCATGAAAAATTTGCTTACTAAGTTAGCTACCGACCTCATTCTTGTAAACTATTAAAACCTTTCAACACAACAGCAACTATTTTGTCTTTTAATTGAGCACATTGGCTCTGTTCCTTAACAAACAAACAAGTTTGGAGCAGCCAGAGTAATCGGAGCACCCCGAATTAACGTTAAAAGAAAAAAAAACGTGACGTTTAGAGCGTTAAAAAGCTTCCAAAACTCCTGATTAGTCACCAAACTTCATCACTGTTAACGTGACGCAACTCCCCACCCAACTTAGGGAAAAAATCGGGTTTTTTTTCCACCCGCATTTCGGGCTCGGAAACGGGATTTTCCTCCCCCTCACGCAAGCGCTCGAATCTCCTTCCTTAAGGGGGGGTAAGAACTGTCAAAACAGCTTGAATCCGGCTACCGTAGGCATTAAAAATTCCTTCTACAGGAATTATCGTCCATCATCACGGCGGGAAGCGTAGAAAAACGCCCACGCAACCGTCACCCCTCTGTCCGGTTTCATCGTATGTACATAATTCATTACGTTTCCGAACCATATCCATATATAAGTTTCATACGCGAGAAAGAGGAAAAAACACTAATTATTAAATTAACCCAAAGGTCCACGAGTTAAAGTCCACTACATCCATAAAAAAACAACCCTACGGGTGGAGAAAACGGACACTTAATTAAGTAGCTCTAGTTGTCACGTCTTCTAACAGTAAACATTAAACAGTATACGGGCGCGCCCACGCCCTCGACGGGGAGTGAACGACAACACACACACACACACACACAACACAAAAAAAAGGTTCCCTAACCCCGTCAAAATGATGTGCCGCATCTTGGCACGCGCCTCTTCGCGGAATTAATACAACTAAGTACATTTAAACTAAACTCCATTATGTTTATTAAGCGGCGTGCGCGGACAACAAGGGGTGAAGAAATTCCGCACGTGACGATTAATTAACGCGTCCTGTTTACTCTTCCACGTTTTGCGTAGGGAATACGCAGCCAGAACAAAC